ATTTTTCTAAAATTGGTCATTGATAATCATCGGCAGATTTTCAAATAACATGTACACCGGATGCTTTACTATAGCCTCCGAGACTATAAAATCCTTGAAAAGTTAACAAAAAAATCGATTAAGAAAATTTGCACAATTGAAAAGTTAAATACATTATTATTACAATAGTTAATAGCCAATCGAAATCAAGGTTTTGAAAGCCTTGTGGCGATAGAATATCAAAAAGTAAATTTATACTTACAGTAAATAAATTCAGTAAATTCTTCTAATGAAGCCATGATAAAACTCATCAAAACAATATTGAAAAATTATTTATATCACTTTTCCCTTTTTATTACTCATTTTCATGCATATTTTTTTTATTTATTTTCTTAAACGTTAACGTTACATATCGTTATCTTTTCCTTTTTTTTTTTTTTGCGGCACAATATATATCGTTGTTACATAAATTTTATAAAAAAAAACAATAAATCATGTCTTATGGTAAAAATATAACATCTTAACATACATGCATAATCTTATAAATGGAACATATATTAATAATGAAAAATAAATTTTTGAAAAAACTCGGTGCTTAATGTTAACCGCTAACATTAAGTTTTATCAAAGGAGGACGTTCGTGTACTTAATGAGGTTTTGGAAAAAAATTTCATCCTCATTGGGATCGCCGTTAAGATTATTTGAACGAGGAATGTCCACATCCGGGCGTTGATCGTAATCCGGAAATGGAGATCGATTGATCTCAACTTTTGTGTTATTATGCGCTTTCTTGGATATTTTGTTAGATTTGGTCTTGCGGTTTTTTTTGGGGGAATATCTATAAGTAGGATCTTTTTCTTTATGAATTTCTTTAGCTGCTTCAGCGGCAATTTCGAAATAGTTTTTTACTGGAGTAGGTTGTTCTTCCCATATTTTAGATGCCCAACTCGAAACTTCTCCAATCGTAGTATTTTTAACACCCAATGATTTTAATTTGGCCTGATAATTCTTTCTGAATAGCATAAACGAATTTAAAGGTCGTGGATTTTTATAATTTTTGGGGTCTTTAATATGGTTCGAAATATTTCGGGAATTAACCGATGGCGAGATTAATTCATCGCGTTTAATCGCTAGTTCACACGGAGGACGAATTCGTAAGAATTCTTCATAAAATGAATGTGTAATGTTTAAAGAAAATTGAAATCTACTAGATTCCATCTTGTTTTGAGGAATCAAAGATCAAGAAAACATTACCTTTATAAAGAAAATTTTTATTAAAACAATTTCAGTTTATCCGATTTATCCGACCTGCGGAACAGTTCTGCATGGAGTTTTTTGGCGAAACGGAAAACAAACTGTAAAACAAACTGTTGCAGCATGATCTCGTTATGCAGTCTTGCCTTTCCGGAAAAACCTAAAACTCTTGAACATCCACCTGTCATGAATTCGATTTTATAATCATTACTTGTTGTTTAAAACAATACATTGTCACACAAAACTATCCGAAATGTCATATAAGTACATACGTACGTACGTGCATTTTATCTAAGGCTAACTTTCAGTAGTCGATTAAAACAAAGCAAGATAGTAACGCATGTAATGGTTTTTTATTGTTCTCCGGAATATCAGAACTCTTGCGGATTTTCGAAATCATTTCCTTTAAAATTTAAAAGACGCAACAGCGCGTGTAAGAATCTAAATCTAGTTAGATTGATAAAAATATTATAGATATCTAGCTGGCTTGTTTGAGTTCAGACTATAAATATTCAATTGAACTTAGCTCGGATTCAGTATATACTGTGTTCTTATGGTTTGGTTAGGACACTGGTCACACCTAAACCAGTAATTACATACCCTAAAAATAAATTAGAGGTCTAATATTCGTATTCAAACATGGAGATGCCGGATCTATCGCTGTTTTCGAATTAGTACAATCATTTAACTTTGTAATTCCGCATATTGCCACTGTAAAAACAATGATAACAATTCTAAAACAGTGATCAGTGTGGCTAAAATTTTTTGTTTGTTTTTTTTGCTGCACAAAATTTTCTGGGTTGAAATCTTTTCCTTTCTATAATACGTTGAATTGTAATAAATACAGAATTAAGGTTTGGCGTCGCGGCAATTATAGTGCGTTTTGAGCCGGTACATGCATAGAGTTATCATGGGTTCCGACTATATAAAGTATCGTCTTTAACTGTTAATGCTAGTGTTACATACTCAATTTTAAAAAGTTTTTTGTTTTTTGTTTTTTTTTGTGTAATTTATTTAACTTTATTAAGAAACTATGATAAATCATAAACGAAAACAGCAGAAATATTCATTTCGCCGAAAATCAATTCATCAACAAGTTTATTTTACCGATATTAATTCACCAACGAGTTTATTTCACTGAAACTCATTTCACAAAATAATTCTGGTCATTGTCGTTAGGGTCAGGTTTAGAACTAGAGTGCGATTTATAAAAAAAAAAAAAACTCGTCGGTGAAATGCCACGGATAAACAATCATAATAATGTTCGTTTTTTGTTTTTGAGCGTTCATTTAAATTATTTATTTTTTGCCGCCTGACTATCAAATACTGAAATATCAAATTGTATGTGAGAAAAGGTACACTTAGAAGATGAACCAGAGCATGTTATGACATTTTTATTCATAAGATGGATGTGTGTATCTAGATATGGCATTTTCTTTTCACAAGATGGGACGTGACGCATCTAGAGAGGGTTTTCACGTATTCTGAAATATGTGGAAGCGTTTGATGGGTCTTTGAATATATTAAGAAGCTGTTCAGAAGCCAATAAAACCTATTGATTGTAATCTGAGTGACGGAAAGGGAAAACCTGTAAATCATTTCACTCATTGTAATGTTATCTACCCCTGCAAGAATTAAGGGTAGATATTACTACGACGATGATGAGTGAAATTATTTACAGGTTTTCCCTTTCCGTCACTCAATTGTACAAAAATTGCATAACGATAACTCATAATATACTAAACTCAGTATTCTATTTATTTATGTAGATCTGTATACTGTAATAAGATCAGCTTCATAAAATGATGTTATTATACACATCACTCTAATTATATCGATACTCCAAAAATGAAGAAATTGCCTGATGCATCAGGTGCCGGGCTAACAGATGCATTTTCATACCAAGTACTGAATATAGGTCAAGATTTTAAAAATGTCGTTATAGCTAGATGTTTCTATATTTAAGGCGTTCTCAAGCACTTTCCTCAATGGACTCAACAAAGAATCTGATTGGCCCGACTGATCAAACTGGCCAATCAAATTCTTTACAGAATTCATGAGAGAGAGATGTTTGAGAACGTTCTTAGATGTCATTATAATCATAGTGACGTTGGGTGGCAGATCACCTAATAGAATAAAACATATGTCAAGTTTTATTTACTGTATTTTTGTATAGTAGATTTTTTGATCAAAAAATCTATATATATACCATACAAAAATGAACTAGGCATATGTTTAATTCTATTGGGTGATCTGCCACTCCAACGCCACAATCCCTGCCTAGGTTGGAATCAAAGAGATATCAAACCACAGGAATTCAAGTTACATAACCGACCTACATATCATGCACCTTATCACCGCATGGTGTTTAATTGTTACGTATTATAACTTCGCAAGAATTGACATCCGTTGTGATTTCCATAATATTTAATAATGTAAAAATTAAGCACCAATGCCCATCTCTACACCGATCGCAATCAATATATAAAGAAGCGTCAAATAATTCACTTGCAATACTCTTTCCTCTTTCAACACAAGAATTATATAATTGTATTATTATTTCTCGATCCAACCCTTTCACCACACACAGTAGCTGTCATTCTCTTATTTAACAGCCGACCTATTTCGAGTAGACGAGAAATTGGCGCTTGGAACCGGGATATCTGGATAGATATCCTGATTTAATTCTCTTAATCCAAACTGATCAAAAGCACAAATAGAAGGCGTTTATATGATTTGCTAATTTATGTCGATCAAAATGGATCAAAGCAAACGAATTAATAAAGCAGGCAAAAACTTTGTACCAGTGAAACTTATATGTTATCCTTCAACAATAGTCATTTATTAATTATATATTTAACTATTACTGCTTTTGATGTTACTGTCCCAAAATATGTTATTAATTAAAAATAATTTTCACTTTTATTAATGAAAAGTTAGATCTTATTTTTTAGTATTACAGCTTTTTATATTACCTATATTAGAATTAGTATTACACGTATGTATCTGTACTAGAACCTTGTTTATATCTATCCATTTTAATAAATTAACTTCTACACAATGTTAAAAGAATATTAAATTATATTAACAGCTTGTAAAAGTTTTTTTCAAAATCTAAATTTAAACATTTTGATCGTTCTTAAACGATTATTATTATTATTATTATTATTTTGCATTTCTGCATAAGAATTTGTATATAGTTAATATAGATAGTAATAATAATAAATAACGAAATCTTCACTTCTAAGTCCTTGAGGTTTTTTGATTATTTTTGATAATTTTTGCATAGTAATGTAAACGTTTTTCAAAGCTAGAAATAACTTTTCGCGATTTTTTTTTTTTTGTTAATGAAATGTTACGTTCTCTTTAAACTGTATAAATAAGTTACCAAGCACTAGCGAGAAACCACCGACTGATACTGCTTCTCACTCATTCTACTGTTACGATGATACCTGACGATTTTCTGCGTTCACAGAATTTTGCAGAAAAATCGTTCAGATAATTTTTAAATCTTGGCCTGGATTTAGGATCTAAAGTCATCATAATGCTGGCTAACATTAATATGGCCTGAATTTGCGGATTATAATGCTGGCCAACTTTACGTAATTCTGGCCAATCGCAGAATTTTTGCAGAATAATCTTTTATCACGGATAGGTTTGAAAATTACATTTTACAATCTTACAATTTAGTGAATTTTGCGAGTTTCAAACCTTTTTACTAATTACATGAAAACCGTTTTATCAAAACCTTCACAAAATTACGTAAAATTACGGTAATTTTACAACCCTAATCACGGACGGCAATTTTCCTGGGAGTATCCAATATGTCTAATAATTTTAAAAAAATATTTTGATAAAAATATGGCCTAACAAGAAGTTTTCCTTGGCGATTTTACTATATATTTCAAGGCCTAATATAAATGCCAACCTTACCTTAACGAACTTTTTATAAATTTTACCTTCATCACGTGATCACGACTTTCTTGGTGTGATACTGTGAAGATTTTTGATTAGCTATTTGTCACAAGATTTATATATTACACAATGTCCAATACCCAATACTTTTTGGTCCAATGGATTGGACTGGACTGGACAAGGGTCCATGTCCAATGTTCAGCCAACACTGGGTGCAGGCACAAAACTTGGGCATAGGCACAAAAATTTTGCCAAGAACTTTTGTAAGCTAGGATGTAAAATGCCAAGCATTGGTTAGCCTAATAGTTCCGGGCATTCTGTGCCCGTGCTCATAATGTGTTAATGTGTCTGGCAATTTTGTATCTATGGGCACAGGCACGGCACAAGCTGACCTGAAGTCAATGTGCTTGGCATGGGCATTTATAGACCCCTACTCGCAATTTATTCTACGAACTTAAAGTCCTTTAACTGAACTTATTTCCGGCACCTTTGACTGATTGGCTTTCTTATGTCTATACTTTTCGATATGTAATACTTAATTACTTTTACATATTTAACATATTTGAGACTTGAAAAGTTAACAAAAAAATCGATTAAGAAAATTTGCACAATCGAAAAGTTAATTACATTATTATTACAATAGTTGACAGCCAATCGAAATCAAGGTTTGAAAGCCTTATGGCGATAGGATATCAAAAAGTAAATTTATACTTACAGTAAGTAAATTCAGTAAATTTTTCTAATGAAGCCATGATAAAACTCATCAACAACAATGTTGAAAAATTATTTATATTACATTTCTCTTTTGATTACTCATTTTTATGCATATTTTTTTTATTTATTTTCTTAAACGTTAACGTTACATATCGTTATCTTTTCCTTTTTTTTTCTTTTTTGCGGCACAATATATATCGTTACATAAATTTTATAAAAAAAAAACAAATAAATCAATGTCTTATTGTAAAAAATTGATGTAGTACGTACATAACATCTTAACATACATAAAAATTTTATAAATGGATATATATTAATAATGAAAAAAAAAATTTTTTAAAAAAACTCGGTACTTAATGTTAACCGCTAACATTAAGATTTATCAAAGGGGGACGTTCGTGTACTTAACGAGGTTTTGGGAAAAAATTTCTTCCTCATTGGGATCGCCGTTAAGATTATTTGAACGAGGAATGTCTTCCGGACGTTGATCATAATTCGGAAATGGAGATCGATTAGTCTCAATTTTCGGCGCTTTCTTGGATATTTTGTTAGATTTAACCTTTTTGCGGTTTTTTTGGGGGGAATATCTATAAGAAGGATTTTTTTCTTTATGTATTTTACTAGCTGCTTCAGCGGCAATTTTGAAATAGTTTTTTACAGGATCAGGTTGTTCTTTCCAGATTTTAGAAGCCAATCGTGAAATTGTTCCATTCTTAATATCAACACCTAATGATTTTAATTCGGCCTGAAAATTCTTTCTGAATAGCATGAAAGAATTTAAAGGTCGTGGCGTTTTATATTTTTCGGGGTTTTTGTCATGGTTCGAAGCATTTCGAGAATCAATCGATGGCGAGATTAATTCATCACGTTTAATCGTTAGTTCGATCGGAGGATGAATTCGTAAGAATTCTTCATAAAATGAATGTGAGATGTTTAAAAAAAATTGAAAGTTACTAGATTCCATCTTGTTTTGAGGAATTAAAGATCAAGAAAACATTGCCTTAAATAAAAAAATTTTTTATTAAAACAATTTCAGTTTATCCGGTTTATCTGGTTTATCCGGCCTGCGGAACAGTTGTGCAACAAATTAATTCATGGAGTTTTTACCGGAAAAACCTAAAACTTTTGAACAAACCACCTGTCATGGAATTATGTAGCAAATTCGATCTATAGTAGATAAGCAGATCATTACTTGTTGTTTAAAACAATTACAAAATTATCCGAAATGTCATATAAGTACTGTACATACGTACGTAGGCTAATTTTCAGTAGTCGATTAAAACAAAGCAAGATAGAATGGTTTTTTATTGTTTACCGGAATATCAGAAGCTTGCGGATCTTCGAAATTATTTCCTTTAAAATCTAAAGACGCAACAGCACATGTAAGAGTAGTTAGATTGATAAAAATATTATAGATATGTCTAGCCGGCTTGTTTTAAGTTCAGACTATAAATATTCGAATGAACTTAGCCCGAATTCAGTATATATACTGTGTTCTCATGGTTTGGTTCGGACAGTGATCACGCCTAAACCAGTAATTACAAATTTACTGCTAAAAATAAATTAGAGGTCGATTATCGTTATTCATATTCGAACATGGAGATCTATCGCTGTTTTCGAATTAGTATCATATTTCGAATTATATAGTATCATATGATAATTTTAATTTTGTAATTCTAAAAACAATGTAATAATTCGAAAACAGAGATCAGTGCGGCTAAAATGGCTCAATGGAAATATAATTTTTTTTTTACTGCGCATAGAATTTTCTGGATTAAATCTTTTGACGTAGAATTGTAATAAATACTGAATTAAGGTTTGGCGTCGCGGCAATTGTAGTGCGGTGCATGCATAGAGTTATCATGGGTCGCCTGAGCAACCTTGGCTAGTGTGGACAAACTCGAAGTCATATCTCCGCCTATACAGTACAAAGTATCGTTTTTTAACTGTTAACGTTAATTAATGTTACATACACAAATTTAAAAAGTTATTTGGTTTTTTTTTGTGTAATTTATCTAACTTTATTAAGAAACTATGATAAACGAAAACAGCAGCACTTCATGAAATATTCATTTGCTGAAAAGCAATTCATCGACAAGTTTATTTCACAATTTTTTGAAATAATGTTCGTTTTTTTTGTTTTTGAGCGTTCATCTAAATTATTATATTTTTTTGCCACCTACTATCAAATATCAGATTTTTGTATTTGAGATAAGGCACGCTTAGAAGATGAAACGACACACCCCGAGCATGTTATGACATTTTCATTCATAAGATGGACGTGTGCAAGATATGACATTTTCATTTCACAAGATGGGACGTGACGCATCTAGAGAGAGTTTTCACGTATTTCCGAAATATGTGGAAGCGTTTGATGGGCCTTTGGATGCATTAAGAAGCTATTCAGAAGTATTTAAGCGATATATACAATAAAATCTATTGAATTATAATTGTACAGAAAATCGTACGTATAGTTGTATACTGTATATAGTTCGTTATACTAAACATTCTATTTATTTATTTATGCCGATCTGTGTACATGAAAGAATAGTTATTCAAATGAATTATTAATTAACAATTTCATGAATGATGGTATGTATATATGTTGCACGTCGCTTTACGATTCCTCTGGATTTAAAATTAACACATGTTGCTTTAAAATTTATACCGATTGAAATATGACATATGTCAACCTTTACTGAGCTCAAATTTAACTATATGATAATTTTTTTAATTATGCAAAAAAAAAAAGATTATTTACTTACTAAAATTTAATCATACGATACGTAATAAAAATTTAAATAAGAGGTTTCGATTAATTATGCAAAAAAAAAAAGATTATTTGCTTGATCAAATTTAATCATACGATACGATACGTAATAAAAAAAATTAGATTTTAAATAAGAGGTTACGATTAATTATGCAAAAAAAAAAAGATTATTTACTTGCTCAAATTTAATTATACGATACGATACGTAATAAAAAAAAATTAGACTTTAAATAAGAGGTTACGATTAATTATGTAAAAAAAAGTTGACTTTAAATAAGAGATTTCAATAAATTTTTTTATTTTTTATTTTTTTTTCACATTGATATGGCTTCCAATAATTCAACAGCTTTTTCATTTTTATCACTTGAAAAATTTGAAAAAATTGTCACCGATTATATGAGTAATCGAAAGAATGAAAGACATATAATAAATCGTTCAAAATATGACCGTTGTGTAATACTTTTACGAAATCCTGCAAGTACTCATGAAAATGCAACTTTAAATATTGGGTTCTCCATACATAGGGATGTTAAAAGTTCGGTTTGGTTCGACTCGACTCCATGAGTCGAGTTTTTAATCTAGACTCGGTTTCGAGTCTGACTTGAACCGAGTTCTAATAGTCACATGCAATATTAGATATCATGGGACTATGACGATAATGATAGATAATTGATAACAGATAACTTTATTTTATTAAAATATACTGAAATATAATAGATAATTCATATTCTA